TGCCATGGGCAGGGACACATTCCACGAGCCCAGGCTGCTCTAACCTGACCTTGGACACCTCCATGGATGAGGCAGCCACAGCTTCTCTGGGCAGCCTGCTCCAAGTGGTTTTAGGATATTTTAAAAGGCAAAGCCAAGGTGAATGCTGGAGAAATGACCCCTCCAGATGTGCTCAGGTGCATCTCTGTGCTGTTCACCCTACACCACACAACAGTATCAGCTTCTGCTCCTGTCTAAACCCCAGCCTGAGCCCAGACTGGCCCAGAGTGGCTGCTGGTGGTGTCCCACTTTCTCCACTCAAAACCTCAGGACAAAATTCTTTCCCAAATASCAGGGAAACCTCCCAGCAGCTCCAAACTGCCTCCCCCAGCCCTGCAGCCCAGTGTGGAGTCAGACACTCCTGCACACAGCCCTTGTGCACAGCACAGAAACAAATTCATCCCTGTCCTGACCTTTACCCAAAGCAGATCCTTGCTCACTGACAAACTGCAGTGAATTTGTTTTACATGACCATAAACCAGGCAATAAATGTCTCCACCACCTTCTCCAATGTACTTCCAGAGAGCCACAGGAAGTTTTTCTCATTGTTTTTCTCCAGCTGTAAGCTCAGCTTTTCTTACCAAACTCAGCCCTTCTTATCAAACTCAGCCTTTCTTACCAAACTCAGCCTTTCTTATCAAACTCAGCTTTTCTTACCAAACTCAGCCTTTCTTACCAAACTCAGCCCATCTTACCAAACTCAGCTTTTCTTACCCCATTCAGAGTGCTCATGTGAAAGGTGAGGGATACTCCCAGACTTAAAACAATTTTGAACTTCAAAGCCYAAATCCTGGCTGAGCTGGAGCCACTAACCAAATATCTCTTTCCCACTATGAGTAAGGCTGAATCACCCCTCTGGCCCATTTTTTYCCCCTTTGCAAGCCCACCAAGAAACACAAATGATGCAGAAGGACCCTGTGCAGAGACCCCTGATTCTCCTGGTGCAAGAGAGACCCTCACCTCTCCTCTGAGCACCTGCTCCTTGGCTGTGGGGACGGGATGAATTTATGTCACAGAGAAATGCTTTCTGTCCCCTCTTTGCCTGTGTTCTACAGACACCACTCATCTGAACACCTCCAAAAGTAAAAAATAATAATAATAATAAAAAAAAAAGTCACATCCCCCATGGGAAAATCCCATCTTGGATAAAGAAAATGAAACCTCATTCACACAAGTGGGGCAGTTTTGGACTTCACTGATGTTGTGTAACATGAGTGACACAAATGCCCATATAAAAAAYCAAGACACATTGATGCTAACTCAGTTTTATTTTTCCTTTCTCATTTGTCAAGACCCCAGCAGCAAGCCAGACTTGCATAAAACATTCAGACTCCACACAGAGCCACAGTCCTACATGAATACACCGCAAAAACTTCTGCATGGTCCAGTTTGGAAGAGACCTGGAGCAGCAGGAGAATGGCTTAAAACCCATCACCTAMAGGAAGGCCAGAAACCAGGCAGCCCATCAGTTTTCTGTGTTTKCTGCCTGACTGTATTTTTCTCTTTTATCATGTTAGTCAGGTGCCAAACAAATAAAATCAATTCTGAACTTATAAAAAGCAATTGGAAATGTCTAGTCTTTTACAGTGAAATCTCGACTGAAGCAGCCCACAGCACTTGGASAAAAATCAATCATCATTTCCATCCTGCTACGTGTGCTATTAAAATTAAGAATTGATGTTCGGCTGCAAAGGAAAATTATTTCAAGAGAACCACCTTAGCAACAGTTTTCAGTGTTCATAAACCTCCTGTTTACGGTTCTTCTCATAGCAGACGAACTCCTACATGCCACCATGAATTATAAATATTAACGAGACATCCCGATTTACATAGAGTTTCCATCTTAATGGGCATCAAAACTGCAAGCAGGGCAAYAGCACCACTTACGGTAATAGCAAGCAGTAAACATGTCCTCAGCCTAGAGAGGTCATAAACCACAGCTAAACACAGTTAAACACCCCTGTAACTGCAGCCTGTCCCCTACCCAAACCCAAGTTCAGGTGATTTTGCCAGTAGCCTTCTCATAAAGACAGAAAGCCTGACAAGCTGGAGTGGGGCAGCTGAAGAGGCACTTAACTCTGGTACAGCCTAAATATTTCAGCAACGTGGTCTGTCCATTTGGCAGCGCCACTCCCTGCATCTTCTTGCATTTCTTGCAGCCCAGCCCATGTAATTTGTATGAAATTATGTGCACACCATGTTAATATCCTCCAGCCACAGCCACAGTGAAAACTGTCCCTCTCTTCAATTAATCTCCATCCCACCAGCTCCATTTCCTAATGTAAATAGTGATTTCCACAGGTGATTTCCACAGCACCAGCTGGAAGCTGCTGTTTCTCCAAGGCTCAGGCACTGTGCAGGGCCAGCAGTTTGGGATGTCTGACACCCTGAGCATGGTGCTCTCCCCTCCAGCAAGGAGCTGCTCCCACCTCCCATGTCTTCCCATGGACTTTTCTCAGCTCCTGTGTGATGGGGCTTGTGGTGGCCACAAGAGTCATCTCGCTCCAGGGGGGTTTGTAACCAACCTGTGGCACACAGGAGGGAGGACAGAGTCCTGTCTGTCCCCCAAATCCACCCGCAGGGTGCTTGGCTGCCTGAAGAAGGGGTAAGGAGGTGATGAGAACTGCACCAAACCCAGTTTTTTTTAAGTTTTTCCCAACCAGTTTCGATCCAGCTGCCTCTCCCAGCTGCTGGTTTCCTGCCCACCAATCTCTGGATTCAGTGCCCTCTGTTCATCCCTTCTTTTGTCTTTAATTAGTGCAATTAGCACATTCGATGGTGCCTCCCTGCACCCACCTCCTCGGCAGAGCATCCCCACCTTCCCAAAACTCCCTCCCATGCCAGGAGGGGCACACTGCATGGCTCTGCCTCTGTCTTATCTGCTTTTCTTCCTTCTGTTTCAAAAAAAAAAAAAATGCAGTCAGCTTTCAGAACTGAATAACTGACTTTGATAGGAAATTACTGATCCACTATACAGCAAATGGCAGTGCTCTAGAACACTGTTAAATTAAAGTCTGGAAAATTAACTTTAATAAAAAGCATTCCAGTAATGCACTGTGACAGCTTTTAGTGAAATCAGCTCCAACAGTTTGATCCTCCCAGGAACGGGGCGAGATACTCCAGCAGCCTTGAGCCATGGGAGCAACAAGCAGACAGTTCTATGATAAATGGCCCCAGAAACCCAAATTACAGCTGCAGCCCATGAACAGTATGTTGAAATCACTCCGAGTTTTTTTGTCTTGGCCACCAAGCTGGTACCTGAGTGTGCACTGACACCTAGTGGGATGACCTCAGGCTGGGAGCTGAGGGGTAAACTGGGGCTGTTTTATTTAAAAACATAAACAGCCAGCCCTCCCTGATGCTAAACCCCCTTGTCCACGGGGGCGTGGTTGGAACGAAATGACCTTTAGGGTCTTTCCCAAAGCAAACCACAGCTGCTATGAGATGACCAAGTGCTATCTGTGCCCCTTCCTCTCCTGCAAGCAAAGTGATTTAGTTTTGATTTCTAAACGCTGCACCTCTGCCACCCAAAGGATTAATTCATCACTTCTCTTGTTTCTGCTCTCCCTGCCTGGCTCAATCCCCTCCTCATCTGTGGGCAAAGGTGGGAAGAACAGGAGGGATTTAGTGTSGATCAATCCAAGTCTAAAGATGCAGATGTAGGGAGAGCTCAGGCCATTGCTCTGTTGTTAAAATTCACCATGCCAGTTAAACTGCAGGGTACTAGAATCAGTGTAACCACACTGAGAGGTCAGGCTCGGGAACCTTTCCTGGTGTGAGCCACAGCACTAATAACAGAATTTTATAAATTCTGTAATACAGAACCTTAAAGCTCATCCCATCCACCCCTGCCATGGCAGGGACACCTTCCACTGTCCCAGGCTGCTCCAAGCCCCGTCCAGCCTGGCCTTGGGCACTTCCAGGTGCCACAGCTTCTCTGGGATGTTGTGGATAGCCCCAGGGGACTCAGTTCTCTCACAGGGAACCAGGCGGYTTTGAGCCCCGGTGTCGTGGATCCAGCCCTGCTCTGACAGGCGAACACTCCAAATCTGAAGCCCAGTTCCAGTGCGGGAGGGTGGCACCACTGCAGTCCTCCATGCACCGATTCGGGCACTGCTGTCCAGAGCAGGTCCTGCTGCACCACACAAACCTCACCCTATGCTGGGTCTGAATTAGAGGCAGAAACAACATGAGGAGAGCTTGTCAGGAGAATGCTTACAGGTCAGCAATGTCCCACCCGCTTCGGGTGTGAATAACCCGGCCATTTCCAGCCCCAGTTCCCACAGGAACCGCACAGGAGCGGCGCCAGGCACCACCCCCTCGCCCCACATGGGACAAGCACCTTCGCGGTTCTTGAAACACCTCWTTCCTATGGGAGCGCCACAACACTTGTCATCTTTATTCTAGGCTTTGACAGCAGCACCCCCAGCACTGCCCACTCCTCCGGTGTCCTCCCACCCGCCCGGGAGGCTCTGCCCTGCCCTAGAGACGGCGGGTTACAGCCTCCGAGGAGGTACCGCAGGAACCTCCCGCTTCTCTGCGGGCAATCCCGGTGATAATTCCCGCAGGCAGAGCCTCACAGCCCCTCCGAGGCGGCAGCAAGACCCTAAAACCCCCCCAAAGCATCCCCGCTCCTGGCGCGCATCCCGCACCGCCCCGGATACGGCCCCGCTTCCGCCAGCGCGTGCGCCGAGCGCTCGCCTCTCCCATTGGCTGGTGGGAGGGGCGGGGCCGCGGTGGTGGATGTCTCTCCCATTGGATAGAGGGCGCCGCGGGGCTGAGGAGAAGGCCGCTTCTATTGGCTGGTGGGCACGGTGGGGCGGGGCTGTGACGGTGAAGGCCGCTTTCATTGGCTGGTGGGCACGGCGGGGCGGGGCTGTGGCGGCAGAGGGAGCTCCCATTGGCTGGTAGGACCGGCGGGGCGGGGCCAGAGGCGGGGCGGCTCCGGTGGGCGCTCTGGGACGGGGGACAGGGCGGGAGCGGGGAGCGCGTCCCGGTGAGGGGTTCCGTGAGGGGACCCTGTGAGGGGACCCGGCCATGCGGGGCCCCGTCGCGGCCATGCTGCGCATCCTCGGCCCGCTGCTGTGCCTCTGGGCGCTGCGGCTCCCGGCGGGCACCGGCGCGGCCGGCCGCGGGCTGGACGTGGCTTCCTACCGGTGAGTACGGAGCGGGCGGTGCGGGGCCCGTCCGGGCCGGGGCTGAGCGCGCCSTGCTTGTGCCGCAGGGAGCGGGTGCGCGCCATGTTCTACCACGCCTACGAGCACTACCTGGAGAGCGCCTTCCCCTACGATGAGCTGCGGCCGCTGACGTGCGATGGACAGGACACCTGGGGCAGGTAAGGGTTGTGATGGGATGGAGATGGGGATGGGCCCCACTCCGCCCGGTCTCACCTCCCTTCCCTCCTCCGCAGCTTCTCCCTGACCCTGATCGACGCCCTGGACACCCTGTTGGTGAGTAGGAGCCAGCCCTGTGTGCTTGCAGCCCCTGTCAGACACCTGTACACCTGGATTTTACACGATGGTGCCAAAAGTCAGTTATTCATTGACCCAGGAGCTTTGCATTTCCCTTTCCATCACCTCTGGGAGGCAGTTGACAGCTCCCCTTTCCTGGCATCCTCTGAAAAAAAGACATAACCTATGCGAAGAAAGCATTTTGAAACAAGATGAAACTGTCAGTCAGTGTTTTAGTACTATCTGTGATTGTGATTTCCCAAAATAGTAAAACCAAATTCAAATTAGCATCAAACATGAAACTGCTCTTTRTTTTCCCATGAACTCTAAGCCTGGCTCCCTGTTGTCCTGCTCCCATGCAGATCTTGGGAAATGTTTCTGAGTTCCAGCGAGTTGTCAGCGTGCTGCAGGAGGGGGTGGACTTCGATATTGATGTCAACGCATCTGTCTTTGAAACAAACATTCGAGGTGAGTTGGGTTTTTCTGTGAGGTTTGTGTTGGGTTTCCTTCCTGAACAAGTCTCAGAACTGTAGAACTGTGGGGTGCTGGTCAGAGGGAATTTGGGATGCAAAGCAACAGGGCAAGTAAACAGAGAGGAAAATCCCAAACAAACGTCACTTCCTTTCAGTTTTTGCACATCCCTTTTTGCTTCCTGCCTCAACACAAGCAGAAGTAGACGTGGCACTTTCAGTATTCTGGTGCAAGGTTTTCAGCTTTGGAATAAATGCGTTTCCCACTGAAGCAGTAGAGATTGTATCCTGTTTTCTTTCACATACTGTTTTGAAATAGAGATTATTATTTTTAGGATTAATCTTTTTTTTTCTTGAAAATCACAAAGGCCTTTGGAGTCTTGTACCTGGTTGAATGCCTGACGGCTTCAGTGCCCTCCAAATAAAAAGCACTGTCAGGGCACAAAACTGTTAATTATGCTTTTCTTGTTTGTCCTATCAAATATTGTTGTGCCAATTTTTGCAGCAGCGTCATTTCTCTGTGKTTGTTATGTGACCATAGACAAACCTGTGAAATAACTAATATTAGCTAATATATTTATGTTAGCTAAATACGGCTCATAACTCACAACCTCTGTTAGTCACATGAAAATTTTTGACTCTTCCTAGTCATAAGAAATATATMATGGAATCTGAGAGTGTTTTGGGTGGGAAAGGACCTTAAAGATCATCCATTCCATGCCCCTGCCATGGGCAGGGACACCTTCCACTGTCCCAGGCTGCTCCCAGCCCCGTCCAGCCTGGCCTTGGACACTGCCAGGGATCCAGGGGCAGCCACAGCTTCTCTGGGCACCCTGTGCCAGGGCCTCACTACCCTCACTGGGGACAATTCCTACCCAATGTCCCATCTAGCCCTGCCCTCTGGCACTTTGAACCCATCACTCCTTGTCCTGTCACTTCAACACATTTCTGCTGCCCTGCAGACAACCAGGAAGAAACCAATCTCTCTTCTTTTGTGCCATTTGAATTATGCTTGTAAGGATGAGCCATCTCATCCCCAAACTGTGCCTTTTCTTTGCCCCAAACTGTGCCTCTGATGAAGAYGGGTATAACTGGTGTGAGATGTCATTCCTCCCCACGTGTTGTAATGGATTCTGACGTGTCCTTGCAGTGGTGGGGGGGCTTCTCTCTGCTCACCTGCTCTCCAGGAAGGCTGGAGTTGAAGTCGAAGCGGGCTGGCCCTGCTCGGGGCCTCTCCTGAGGATGGCTGAGGAAGCAGCTCGCAAACTGCTGCCAGGTGAGCTCCTGTCTGCTCCGTGTCACTGTGCTGGGGGCCACCTGGTGGCTGCTGGATGTGACGGGAGCTGCACTGCTTGATGTGCCAGCTCCTGARCCAACCCTGTGTTCCCTGAGCTCTGTGCAAGTTCAGTTTGCAGGGAAAGTGTGGTTGTACAGGTGCATGCCAAGTGCTGCCTGTGCAGTGTATTTGTTGCTTGGTGAGGGAAAATATATTTAATATAAATAATAAATAAAGGCTGTGAGCCAGCAGCTTGTAAAGACAAGCAGGTGCTGCCTTATCTGCTCTTTGTGGGCTGCAGCTGGGCTGGCTGCCCTCGTGGCATGGCACTGTTCCCTTGTGTGCACCCAAGGAGGGATCACGGCCTCAGTGGTGCCCTTTGCTGTCCAGTGTGTTTAGTGAGTGCCCTGTCTGTGCTGTCATAAACAGTGACAATGYAGTCTGCTGCTCTGGCAAGCTGGAACAGAATCCCAGGACCTTCCCAGGACTGTGTGTGCCATGGGATACCCACTCTGCCCCTCCCAGGATCACATTCCACTTCTCATTTTATTCTTTGCACTGACTGCAGTTACTCCAGACCCAGTTCTGTCCGTGTGCAGTGCGATGTGAGGCACATGTTTGCTTGAGATCTGTTAAACACAACTCTGAGCACTTCTGTGATYCAAAAATTCTGTGTTTCAGCTTTCCAGACCCCAACTGGGATGCCCTATGGCACAGTGAACCTGCTGCAYGGGGTAAACCCTGGGGAGACCCCAGTCACCTGTACTGCTGGAATTGGCACATTTATAGTGGAGTTTGCCACCCTGAGCCACCTTACTGGTGACCCRGTGTTCGAGGACGTTGCCAGGAAGGCTTTGAAGGCACTGTGGAAAAATCGTTCAGATATTGGACTGGTGAGTGAGGAATAGTCTTGGAATGTGCTGGGCTGCTTTTTGGGTAGTTTCATGGATGCAATTTCAGGCACAAAAAAGCGTCAACAGAGAGGAGACAGAATTAGATAAATAACCCCAGTGCTCATAACTGAGCTGAAGCCTCGTGTTTGACATTGTTTCTGAACACCTGCAGCATCCATCTCTGYTTTCCTGCAGCAGCCCAACATTGTCCCATTGTTCTGGCCCACACCAGATGTGGCTGGCAGACAAATGCCTCCTGCTGGGTGCTGCAGCTTTTGTGCCAGCAGCTGGAGCAGATTAAATGAAAGGTCTGTCTGATGGCTGGTGGGACAAAGGCCTAGGGAAGAGAACAAGAGCATGCCAAGTGCTCTGAGATATTACCAGCCTGTACAGCTCTGGGCTTTCAGGAATATCTGGGAGTGTTATCTCCATCTTCGCTGTCTCCTGGACCTTTCTACTGCTGCTTTTTTTAGCCTCTTCAAACTCCTGGTGTTGCATATGTGAAGTGAAACAGATTTATTCATACCCTGTGTTTATTGCCACAAGTTATTCACAGGCTGTATGAAGATATGTTTCCCTTTCTTTTCTCTGGGATTTGCTTTTTTTTGGTTTATAACTCAAATCCTCAATCAGTACTGGATGTTTTTCATGTTTGCTAAGAAAGACATGATTGCATATTTTACTCTCCATCAGCTGGGTTTGTTCATAGGCTCAAGAGTGCCAGCATCTATTTAAATATTAACATGACACCTCTTGTACCTTGGACATTCTTGGTCTCCATCTCTGTATCTGCATCTGTCCATGTTTCTGTACTCTTGAAAGATCAGAATTAGGACAAGACACTTCATGTTGAAATTGTGCATTTTTGCAGTAGCATTRGAGTGTGTGGGTTTGGCCAGTGAAGTGTTGATATTGGAAGCATAAAATGTTTATTATACATATAAAATACATTAGCAGCACAAAAATTGTTTTTTCTACAGTTTATATAAAAGCATAAAAGTTGTGTTTTCTACAGTTTTTGTTTCTCTGGTGCTGATAAATGTGTCCTGTAATGGAGAAAATGCTGGTTGGAATGGACATTGAATGCCTATGAAACTGATGGTCTGAATAAAGGACCAGGATTTCTTGTGCTACTTTAACTCCTCTCTCCTTCTCTTTCACTCCTTCCAGGTGGGGAACCACATTGATGTGATAACTGCCAAGTGGGTGGCCCAGGATGCTGGGATTGGGGCAGGGGTGGACTCCTACTTTGAATACCTGGTGAAAGGAGCCATCCTCCTGCAGGACAAGGAGCTGATGTCCATGTTTTTAGGTGAGTGGTTTGTTTTCTTCATGAAGGGGCCCAGTAATGCCTCCTTGGCTGCCCCTGTAAAAAGCTGTGACAAGAGGAGATGAAGGATCTAATGGGGCACATCCAAGATGGTTTCTGAAGCCTTTGGTGTAACACTTTTGAACAGTCTGTGATAACAGATTTACCAAAGTGAGCGCCCTGAGAAGTCATTTAATATGGCTGAAGTGAGAAAGCGACTTCTCTTATACTTAAAAATAAGATTTTTATGTTGTTGGCTTATCTACCATCTGTTTCTTTACAGAATATAACAAAGCTATCAAAAATTACACTAAGTTTGATGACTGGTACCTGTGGGTCCAGATGTACAAAGGAACAGTGTCCATGCCTGTGTTCCAGTCCCTGGAGGCCTATTGGCCAGGCCTGCAGGTAAGAGCTGTCATACCAGCAGCATCTGGTGGCTCTGTTCATCTATCAGGGCTTTGTCTTCAATAAAAAGTTACAAATATAACCCTCATCTGTGCAGGTTTGAAAGTTTGATATCTGGTGAAATCTACAGTAGCCTGAGCCTATAAAAGATGATGATGAAGAAAATGTTGATCTTTATCTACAGTCTATAAAAAAAGTCTGCCATTCAGCACCATGGGAGAGCAGGTTTTTTTGTGGCAAATTCCACTGACAGTGGTCCCATAATCCAGAAGGGAGTGTAAGGAAAGAGTCTCACACCTCTTTTTCTATCCCCTCACAAATGTTTTGTTTGAATGAATTTTTTCACATGGAGAGCGTTGCTTTCTCATCAGTCTTCATGTTTGGACTGAGACTTTGTTTTCCACACTAAGAGACTGGATGCTGTGATTGATTAAACATTTGACTGAAGAAACACAGCCTTCTTTGAAAAAAAATCAGAGACTTCATAATATTTCAGGTGTAGGAATGTGATCCAGTAGAAAAGTAGCATTTTCAGTCTTAGCTGTTCTTAAGCATCATGTCCCAGTATCAGTTACACCATTCAGAGCTGATGAAATACCCATTTCTGTCACTGGCTATTTCTTTGCCTTTAGGAGTGTTATTGCATCAATTCCTTCCTTCACACCCACATGTCTTTGCTAATTGTTTCCTGTCTCTCAGAGCCTCATTGGGGATGTAGATAATGCCATGCGGACCTTCCTCAACTATTACACGGTCTGGAAGCAGTTTGGGGGCCTGCCCGAGTTCTACAACATTCCCCAGGGATACACGGTGGACAAAAGAGAAGGATATCCACTCAGGCCTGGTAAACACAACTGAAATTAAAAGGGTTGTGCACTCCTACTTTAGCTCTGGTGGGGAGATCAAATTAGAGCAACACCTGCCCTCCACAGTTCTCTCCCCAGTTTTGTTGTGACTCAGTTCCTGCATGGATTTTGGCAGGGATTTTCAGAGTCAAAGCTGCACATTCCATTTTCCCSCACTCACAAAGACAGGAAGGAAACAGGAAGCAAACCTCAGTGTTGCTACAGGAAGGTGGCCTATTAATGAATTTTGCTCAGTGGGATTTGACATGTTTAAGTGTTAGATTGTCTGGCATGGGGTGTTTCAGTCCCGTGAAATGTTAAAGGGACTGCTCATGTCCTTTAAATTTAGGAAGTGAAAGTGAGTATGAATAGACTGCTCCAGTTCTGCTGAGTTCCAGAAATAAACTCATTCTAGTTGCACTAGTAAAGCTCAACATCCAGGAGGGATTCACTATTGTCTGTGATACTATAATGAAAACATACTTTTTTCTAGTTTTTACGACTGACCAAAAAAAACTCAATCTGATTATTGGGTCCATAAAACTTTGTAAATATAAGAATAATTAATTTCCTTCTGGTCTGAGTGTTCAGATGACATCCACACTGGACAAATCTACAAAATACTCATCAGCATTAACTATTATAGGTATTACACTGTTTCTTTAGTAASTAAACACAGCACGGTGCTTATGTTATCTTCATAGAGTATTTCCACTGTATTATTTAAAAACTGTATTTTGAGGGTTGAATTTCTTGCTTGTAATCCTTTCCAGAAGCGCTTTTTTTAACTTTGACAACTGAGTATTAATCTTTTTGTCTCTTGCTCCCCTCCTACTGAATGTGGGAGGCAGCATTAGTCACTTTTACCTGAGAGGCTGCTTAGAGGGAAAAACAAAACTGTGCTTGGAGCCTGAGGAAATACAAGGCAAGCCAGGCTGTTCACCTGATCATCCTGAAGTATTTTTAAATTAACTCAAGGAATATCTCATCTTCCCTGTGTGTATGGTGTGGTAATCTTTGTGCTGGCAAATGTTTGGGTGTTTTGCAGAGCTGATTGAGAGCGCRATGTATCTGTACCGTGCCACCAGAGACCCCACGCTCCTGGAGCTGGGGAGAGACGCCGTGGAATCCATAGAGAAAATCAGCAAGGTGGACTGTGGGTTTGCAACTGTGAGTGCTAAATCATCTGCCATGTCAGCTGCTAAAAATCAGCTTTCAGAAGGTGTTCTCCTGAGTGATGTTTTTGTTACTGAGTCAGGTGATCGCTTCAGGCAAAACATGACATTTTGCCAACAAGCCCCTTCTATTTCTTGGTGAAGCTGCTCTGTTAACTGCTGGTCATGTTTCTGGTCATAGCTTCCCTCACAGTGGGTCAAATTATGCCATGGGCTGTTGCACAGTGTCCAAAACCTGGGAAAGCACCACAAGTTTCTCGTGCTTCTCTAGTAGTCATTTGAGTTGAGCAGGAAGGCTCCTCCTGCCAAGTGTGTGATTCTGTTTTCCCGCTATGTCTTGAAAATGTGATCAAAAACATGATCAGTGCAGTGAGCAATTTGTCAAAAGTCATTTAATAGAGGATTCCAAACATTCAATCAAGCTCTATTTTATAAAAAACTCTTTATAAATATTGGGAATARGTAAGTAAAAGCCTGATGATTTTTTTTTCTTTAGTGGGGGAAATGATGGGAAGCTCCTCTTCTTGCCCAGACTGAACTGAGGACAAGTTTAGATGTTAGGAAGAAATTCTTCCCTATGTGGGTGGTGAGGCCCTGGTACAGGGTGCCCAGAGAAGCTGTGGCTGCCCCTGGACCCCTGGGAGTGTCCAAGGCCATGTTAGGTGGGGTTTGGAGCAGCCTGGGATAGTGGAAGGTGTCCCTGCCCAGGGTATGGAATGAGATGGGCTTTAAGGTCTCTTCCTACCCAAATCATTCTGGGATAAGATCCAGGCTAAGTTGGTGTCAATACTGTGCTGTTTAACTGAAATAAATTCCAAATTGGTTTTATTTCTGCCCCTAAGGTCATAACTCATTGGATGATGTAACAGTAACCCACTGTATTTCTTCTCCTGTAGATCAAAGACTTGAGGGACCACAGGCTGGATAATCGCATGGAATCCTTCTTTTTGGCTGAAACAGTCAAATACTTGTACCTGCTGTTTGACCCAGACAACTTCATCCACAATGATGGCTCAGACTTTGATGTGGTGGTCACACCTTATGGGGAATGTGTGTTGAATGCTGGAGGGTACATCTTCAACACCGAGGCTCATCCCATCGACCCTGCTGCCCTGCACTGCTGTAGGAAGCGCAAGGAGGAGCAGTGGGAGGTGGAAGACTTGATGAGGGAATTCTACTCACGGAAAAAAACAAAGAAATTCACTTTAAAAAGAGCTTCTGACCACGCTGAAGGGGAACATGCAAAAGACCCCAAAGATGCCTCTTCAGAGAAAGCTGGAGAGAAKAGAAACTCTAAGAAAAGCTCACACTCCCTCCTGAGTTGCCCCAGTCARTCTTTTAACTCCAAGCTTGCAGTACTGGGACAGGTCTTCCTAGATAACACCTGATACTGTTTGCATCATCAGTTTAAATTATTTAACTTGTTTCAGGTTCTGGGAATATATTTTTATATTTTCATAATGGAAACAGTGGTACCTCACAATGTGAATTGTATTATGAAGTGAAACAACTTCTCATTAAATTCTGCTACTGCTCCTTCATAAGCCTTGGCTCAGGTACCAGCTGTTGATGCTGCTGAGCTGCTGATCTCAAAGTACTTGGCTGTGTGAATACCAAAAAGAGAAAGAAAGGTCTACGTGTTAAATGCACCCTTTTTATTGCATTTTGTGAGTTTTACAGGCTTACAGAGAGTCCCCAGCTTACTTTGCTCTGTAAAAATGAGCCTGAGTGGTTCCCCGTCATAAGGGGACAAGCAGGAATTAACTGTAGCTTTACTACAACTCTGTGCTCCTTCTTTTATCTTTGGCCACTTTATAAACAKGTGCTTCATGTTGAAAAATTGCTGGCCACTGGAGTAAACCTGTTTRTTTTGAGGTGGAGGCTCAGATTTGTAGCTCTGGTAGGTGTGTTGGGCACAGGGGGAGCAGAGCACTTAGAACATGAGAAAATGCTCGGTCCTCCTATTTCAGATCAGTGTGGGTCGGTACCTCATGCCTGAAAACCACCACTTTAGTAAATGTCCAGCCAATACTGAGGTGTAGGGTGTACTAGGAAATGTTTGATTGACTCTGCAGTGTTGCTTGCTTGCTTTCTAAAGAATCTAAGATGCTTATCTTGAAATTTCCTTCTTTTTAACTTCCCTTTGGCCATTTATTTCACTGTACCTGAGTCACTGCAGCCACCCCTGGGGTGCCCAGCTGCACTGAACATGAGCTGTGCACAAGGCTTGRAAGAGAGCTCTGTCCAGGCTGAAATTGCAGCTCTGCCTTGGTGCAGGAGGCAGCTGAACAGATGTTCATGAACCTCTCAGTGTTCAGCTGACTTGGCAAATCTAAACCTTTAAATRCATTATTAGTGTCTTTGCAACAGATGTGTGCAGTGACCAGAAAGGGTGGACCAAGATATTTTCTTTTTAAAGGGGACACCAAAATTGGAGGCTTGCTGGAAAGTGAGCAGTCTGGAGCAAGCTGCACCCAGCTTACAGTCATTTGAGTGGGCTGGAGGTACAGGATAAATAAATCCCTGTGGACAAGGAAATACTTAAATACAACTGGACCAGTGCCCAGTCTGTGCTGGTGTGTGGTTGCCTTGAGAAAGTAATTTTTTTGTTGTTTTGACCTCTACTAGTGCTGTAAAGTTAAATAAAATCTGTGTTTTGCCCTTCAGGGTAGAAATCCTCTTGCAGTTGTGAATGAACTATGGTTAAGAGAGACAGGCATATTGGAAGGATTGGCAACCTACTGAGGTTTTAGTTCTGTCCTTTCCCATGGCAGGGGGACAGCTGCTGACCAGGAATTCTGCATTGATACAGCACTTGCAGCTGTACTGAGAGGTGCTCTGAGCTCAGTGCTGAGAGTTCTTTTAGGAGAACCCTAAACCAGGCAGTGTTGGACAATGGAGTTCATTAGTGGCTCCTTGTTGTCACCACAGGTTATCTTTATTGTCCAGCTATTCACATCTCACACGATATTCATTGTTTAACCTGCAGAAAACAAACCCCAGACCTCCAAMAGCTTTGCCCAGTGCTGGGTCAGGTCTGGAATCGCTCTCTGCATTGTCCCACCTGTGAGGTAAAAGAAACAATAAAGGACATAACAGGGCAGGGGCAGAACCTCAACTCAGGTAGATCCCTCCTGACCAGGGCATTTTGGTACCCTCATACAAAAACCTCCCGTGGCAGAACCAAGGGGCCATGGCCTTGGGAGATGAGGTTTCTTAGCACAGTTGGAGCTGAGAGCTCATTTGTCCGTGGCTACTGTGAATAATTAGATGGGTCTYAATTAAAGATTCACAGACTCTTCTGAAAGTGATCCACAAGGATGATCGAGTCCAAYTCTAAGCCAATGGCCCACACAGGGATTGAATCCAYAACTTCRGTGTTATGAGCACCATGCTCTGAYCAACAGAGCTCATCTYASATCAGTGCTGTGGGGTGGGTGACTCAGAACAACACAGGACAGCCTCAACTCTGCCTTGTCCCAGTGTTGTTCCATCTTACCAAGCCTTTATTTTAACAAAAACAAACCGTGATAGGAGTTCTCGGTGAGCCTCTCTTTAAACGGTGAACTGTGTGGCTGGGCCTTGCTGAGGGAGATGAAGGCATCCCGATGGCAATAAAGGTATCCCGATGGCAATGAAGCGGGGCCCAGGGGAGGAAGAAGCGCGGGGAGCAGCAGTGCCGAGCACCCGCCGTGTCCACCCCTCGGTCCCTCAGCCCGCCCTCCCAGCGGCGCTGTCCCTTCCGGCCGCCATGTTGGCCTGGCGCGGTTTCGCCGCGGCTGCGCACAGGGCGGAGCGGGCTGAGGGGAGGGTTCGCTGTTTGTGTCCCCAGCGCGGAGGCCATGGCGGCCGTGGCGGGGGGCGGCACCGGGCCCGGCAGCGGCACCGGCAGCGGCACCGGCGGGGCCCGCGCCGCGACCACCAACATTCTGGCGCAGCTGCGGCACGGGCAGCTCAGCGGGCGCGGGCTGACCCGCGGGGCGCAGGTAACGCGCTGCGGGCCGCCCGTGGCAGCCGGGCCGGCCTGGGGGAGGGGGGTGCGGGAGGATCGGGGAGGGCCCGGGGCGCCCGTGGGGTTTGGGGCCAGGGGGGCAGCGCATCCCGCCCGGGCTTCTCGCGGAGCTGCGCGGCCGGGGAGAGCCCCGCTGGCCTAGCGGGGCCTGCTTGGGGAGAACGGCCGCTCCCAGCCCGGGCTCGGCGCTCCGGAGCTCCCCGGAGGTGCTCGGGCTGTGCCCCGGTGGTGGAGGGGCGGCATGGCGCGGGGCGGCACAAGGATGTCCCGGTGCCCTCGTGCTCCGTGTGCCKCCTCCCCGGCCGCAGTTGGGCTGGAGGAGCAGCAAGGAGCAGCACAGGCGTTTGCCGAGCCCTTCTCCGCCTCTTCGSTCGGTGTGGCCTTCCCTGCAAAGAAAGGAAGCTCTGCCTGGGACTGTAACAATGCAGCATCGAAATTTAAACRTATTTCCTGGACAAAGGCAGCCTCGTGGTGTTAGGGTTTAGGAGACATTTTAGCTCTGTAACGCAGGTAGTTTTATGAGGAACTGGTCCGGGTCCGTTTCTTATTTGTCATCTTTCCCAGCTGMTGATGCTGGGAAATCCCAAGGACTGAAAGCAGCTCCTTAACCCGGGCCTGTGCCTGTGGTGTGCTGATGTTWGCTTTTTTTGGGAAGCTGCCCCCGGATATGGACTATTAATTTCTTTTTATGGAGAATAATTGGCATTTATCTTGCAGATTAAATGCAGAATTGTGCAAAAACTTGGAAAATGAAACGTGATAAAGAATTTGCATTCAGGTGGTGATTTATTGAACTGAAATATCTTAAGAAAGGTCAGATGGAATAAAAAACGACATTTCTTGAGTTTATTAGTGCAGACACCAGCATTTTCCTTGATTAACAAGGATTCTGAGCAATTACTAAGASAAGATTGGTTCATCTTGAATGACTGTACCTGGTTCTGTAGCAGAGAGGTAAAAGAGCAGGTGATCTTTTTTATAGCTCTTTTGTCCTTATTTTGCTGCTTCCTCAGATAATAGTTTGGTTAATCCTTAAGAAGAGCCAGTAATTTGCATGAACATAATCCTTTATTGACTCTTTGTAAGGAAGTTACTTCCTTGGGATTGTTTTAGAAGTGTATTTCCTGTGGCACATGGACAAACTTGGTCTCACTGCTTTACCTGTCCACCTCTGCACTCTTTTCTTTCATACACTTTCTTTCTCAGTGACTGCAATTTCAATCAGGGAAACCTGCACCAACCTTTTTCACCTGTGTTATCTAGAATGGTGCTTCCACCTCTGGGCTTTGGTTTGCTTGAAAAATTCAGTAGTACTGTTTTGATTTTGGGCTTTTAAGCTTTTGCAATAATCAAGGAAACTTTGCTGGTTGCATCRTCTTTATAATGCCCAAGATTGTGGTGGAGTTTTTGTTGCTGGGGTTTTGTTTTGTTTTGCTTGAAAAATTSTGACATTCCTGTGTTGTCCTGAGAGTTAAAGCTTGGACACATAGAGCTCCCARCGATTGATAAATGCTGTGGGAGGATATTTTAAATCATTTTGTKTAAGAGCATGGAGGGACAGGACAAGGAGGAATGGCTTCCCACTGCCAGATGGCAGGGTTAGATGGGATATTGGGAAGGAATTGTTCCCTGKGAGGGTGATGAGGCCCTGGCACAGGGTGCCCAGAGAAGCTGTGGCTGCCCCTGGATCCCTGGCAGTGCCCAAGGCCAGGYTGGACGGGGCTKGGAGCAGCCTGGGACAGTGGAAGGTGTCCCTGCCCAWTGCTGGGGGGTGGAACTGGATGAGTTTTAAGGTCCCTCCCAATCCAAACCATTCTGTGATTCATTTGGAATAAGGCAGGGGGAATAACAACTCCCTGAATGATTTTGAACTTCATAAATTACATGTCTCTGTACTTTTACCTTGAAGCAGTATTTGGTTTGTAGACGATCTAAATATAAAACACTTTGATGTAACTTTTAAAGAAGCACGAGGCAGTTTTGGCTGCTTTTTTTTTTCCCAAGTTCTATTTTTTAACAAAACATTCCCAGTTTTCCTGCGGTTGACTCCTCAGTGGCAGCGTGGGAGCTCTTGCTTACATTTCTGCTCCTGAAAAGCCTTCGATCAGGTCAGCTGCTGTGTTGGGGTCTAGAGCAAATCATGAGAGTGTCCTTGAAGSTTTTCTATCTGTCTTTTGGAAGGATGTTTTGGATCATGTGCTGTCTGGACTGCACTGCTAGTGTCTTGTGAGGAGGGGAAACCCTTCTCAAGATATTGATCCTGGGAGAYTGGGGAACACAGTTCCTCGCTGGGGTGCCTGCCATGGACAGTAATGGCATTTATCCCTAAACAAAGCTTTGTGTACTATTCTTAGGTGATCTCAAGAGCCATTTTTGTATGAGGAAAGTAGGGGCTTATCTGTGAGCTGGGAAAGATCACTGTTGACAGGCCTGCATTTGAAAGTTTATCACTCTGATCCTACAGGGACATAAAAGCTTTTTTGACAGCAACAGCCCCTTGAATATCTGGCAGTTTTGAGGCCAGCTGAGGCTCTGAAATCTGGATCCTTGTGTGTTCCTGCTGTGCTCACTTACCCAGAGCCACAGCTTCCTTGCCAGTYGGTGTCTTGCTTCATTATTAATAATAAATTATTCAGAGAAGGGCAGCAGAGCYGGAGMGTCAGTYGTATGAGGAGTRTCTGAGGGAGTGTAGGGGCTYAGCTTTGAGAACAGGAGACTCCAGGGCAACTTGTGGCTCTYGACAACTCCCTGACAGGRGGGTGCAGMCAGGTGAGGATTGGGCWGTGCTCCCAGGGAACTAGGGACAGGATGGGAGAAAATGTCCTCAAGCTGCACCAGGGGAGGTWCAGGTTGGACATGTAGAAGAATTTATTCGTGGAAAGAGTTGTTAGACATTGGAAAGGGCTGCCCAGGGACGTGGTGATGTCTCCATCCCTGGAGGTGTCCAAGGAAGGCCTKGATGTGGCACTCAGTGCTCTGGGCTGGGCRACAAGGTGGGGATCAGGCACAGCTTGGACTCTGCTCTTGGAGGTCTTTCCCAGTCTAAATGAKTCTGTGATAAGAAGTTGATTAGCTAAAGCAGATTTCAGTAGATACTGCTGTTATTTGTTCCTCTATCTGATTTATCCATATTGCTGGCATCAGCTGCTGCCCTGGACACAAGCCTCAGTGCTGGTATCAGATTGCATAACCTTGCTTCAGGGTTTGCCCTGCCCTGAGCACAGAGCCAGCGCAAGGGGCTTTGCTGCTGGTGAACCAGCACAGAACAACTTCCCAGAAGTGACACATTTTCCAATAAGGAAGAATATTGGTTGTGAGTGGCCTGGTGTGTTCCCCTCTCCATGTGTCACAGGCACTTGACAAGGGTTTGTGCTGCTGTTCCTTCAAGGCCAAGAGCACTCTGGCTCAGCTGATCAAGCTCAAATCCCCTTAGCAAGAGGGTACACACTTCATCTGCTGCAAGCCAGCTGTGAACAACATGGATATGGCATGAAACCAGAAGATATTTAGGTGCAGCTCTGGGAATCCCAGTAGACAGAGCAGTGCAGTAATGGACTAACCAGGGATTTACTGGCAAACTAACGTGTTCCTGGTACAGTCCCAAGAGCTGAGCGTCAGCACTGCTCTCACCCTCACGGCATTGCCAAGGCTTAGCTGAAACAATCAGAATGGAAAAAAAAGAGTCCATTTTTCCAGCTGTATTTCATGCTTTGCTATCCCTAGGAATAGACACTTCCTTTAGCATGATCGTCACTATCCACTCTAAAAAAAGCTCTGTGSAAGGAAAACATTTTCTTCCTCAGACATCCAGATTTCCATCTCCTCCCATTGCAGGTTATCAGCAGGAGCAGCTTCCTAACTCTGGGAAAAGATTTTATTTTCAAGTCAGTTTTTTGTTTCCTCCTTACAACAGCACCAACAAAACAACATTCACGTGAATATAATCCACTTGAGTAGCTCTAATTGTGTGGGTGTTAGCAGGCTTAGGCCTCTTCAGGGGAGGACAGTGAGTGAGTGTTGGAAAGCCTGGACGTGCTTTTATTATGTAACAGRACTAGAGCTCTGCCATGCACTAGAAATTATCCAAAAGTGATTCTGTTGGACTTAAATAGTCTTATTTTTTTTTGTAGGGCTGAAGATGAGTGAGAAGAAAAATAGATGTGTAGATGTGATATTCCTTCCTTATTCCTCTGCTTTTTCTTAGATAGGCCTACAGATTTTGTTTTCTTTCAAAATGAACTAAAGAAGAAACTTAGGCAGTTCCAAGGAAAGGTAAATCACTGAGAAGTTAATACAATTTTTACACACTAGTGGATTTATTTTTCTCTGAGAGTAAGATCACCTCTGTTCTGATCTGGTAGATCCTGCAGTAGGTTTGGAGAGGTGCTGGTGTCAAAGGTCTGTGTTGGAATTGTCTTGCTCTTGGAAGTGATGTGAGGATTTGAGATTTGGGAGACATATTCCTGTCTTGGTAGATCAGCTCTTCCTGTTCCAGTGAGTAGARCTGTAGTCTGGGAGTTGTGGGAATGGTTAGGCCTGGCTGGAAGCTATGTCRTGTTTTATCCTAGGACAGTGTGTCCCTGGGTTCATGCCTGGTTTTTGGGTTGGCAGGAGAAGGGATGAGAGGCCCCATCCAGGGCTGGGGAAGATGGAGAAACAGCAGTTAAGGGAATCATGATCTGCACTTGAGGCATCAAGGAGCTGGAAAGAGRCTGGACATAGGTGCTCTTACATGGACTTCTCCCAGCAGAGTTTCCTTTTACGAATAAAATTTATGGGGCTGTGCGTTGTGTTTGATGAGAGCTCAGCTGGTGACTGACCACAGTCTGTTCTGCCTCGGAGCTGCAGGGCCTCAGTTCTCAGCTTCTCCCTTGGAATGCTTTCCAGAATCGCTCCATGGGCCAGCACTTGTGTTCCTGCAGAAACTGTTGTGTTAAAATCAAAACTTGTGGGGTCATTCACCTTGGTTACAGGCTTTTGTGGGAAAACTTCTGTGACGATTGAGACAGCTWAGCCAGGCTGATGGATGGCTTTTAGTGACTGGAAAAGAAAAGGCAGTAAAGAGCTGGGAAGGTGGGGCACTCCCCAAAATCCTGAATAATCATTCTCTTGGCAGTCTGTCAGAGATGATTTCCTAAGTTATTACTGTTTAGAGGAAAATGAAGTATTTAATTGCACAAATATTAGTTTCCTGTTTTTTTTTTAAATAAGTACAGCCTAAAAGGCTTGGAGGAAAGGATATGGAAAGGCTTCAATTTTATTAAAAATACACAGAGACCATGTGCTTGTATCTTGTTGTGGAGATCCATAATCTTGTGCCTGTTTCCTTTTAAACTTTGAGGACATTTGAATATATTCTTCAGGAGTGGTCATGGAAAATACCAAGAATGGAAATTCTGCCTTTCTTAAAAGAATTCCCAGTCTTAATGTATGGCTGCARTGAGAAATGGAATTAAAAAACCTTCTAAGTGATGTGTCATAGCTGTGAAGTCTGTCACAGCAGGAATCCTTCAGKGCTGTGAAGGATGCCTGGACACCTGAGTCACTGCTTTTGCTTGCTGAAAGATGACAGCAAATGCCCTCCTGTAGCGAGTGCCCAGCAAGACAGTGAAATGTTTGAAAGGTAAAACGTGAAGTAGAGACAAAATTTTATCAGGAAATTGTTGGCCCTGCTCTGGAGAGTGAAGGGGAAGATTAACTGTAGGTATTTCTGCTGCTGTCACGCACCCCTGGGCCTTCAGTTTGTTGGCAGTTTTGAGAAGACACAGAGAGATGTCGCTGATCACAGCTCAGCAGAGGTGTGGAGGTCAGGATAGGAAAATCAGAGCTTTGCTTTGTAGGGCAAGGAAAATTGTCACAGTGCAGGAACACAGGTGGGAAGGAAAGCCCTCACTGAAAGGGGGACGAGTTTTGGGAGCAGCTTCAGCTCCAGGAGATCTCAGGGCAGTAAGAAATGTTTTGGCAATGCTGATAAGGCGGTGCTGAGCACGTGGCAGGGCATGGATACAGCAGGGGGAAGTGCTGCTCCTGTGCTGCTGRRGAGGCTGTGCCTGGAAGATGAGCAAAGGGGAGGGGGAAGGGAAGCTTCCAAGGGGAAGCTAAACTCATCAAGACATGGATTAAAGCAAATACTAATGTATAACTTCATGAAGATTTACGTATTATTCATAATTATTTATTTTATCATTGAGTAATTGAATACTGTCAGGTCAGGTTTAGGTTGGATATTAAGAAAAGGTTCTTCCCCCAGAGGGTGCTGGGCACTGACCAGGCTTCTGAGGAAATGGGCATGGCCCTGAGGCTGCCAGAGCTCCAGKAGTGTTTGGACACTGCTCTCAGGGATGCTCAGGGTGGGATTGTTGGGGTGTCTRTGCAAGGCTGGGAGTTGGACTGGATGATCCCTGTGGGTCTCTCGTTGCTTAGAATATTCTATTCTTATTCTATTGTTTTTGAAAGTATTTCAAACACAAAACGATTAGAAAGAAATACTTAGAGTTGTATGCAGTGGCTTGTTCAGCCTTTTGCATACTTCCAAGGAAAATTATGCACAAAAGTTATTTAAATTATGTAGTTGTAAAGTGTTCCTGTGGTAGTTAACAGTCCTTGTAGTAATCTCCTGGAAAATCCTGGGCTCCAGTTTGTTGGGAGCCTCTAAGGAGAAAACCGTTCACTCTGCTCTACCTTATAGTCATGGATGGKCTGATGGCACATTTTTATCTCTGCATTTAAATCCTCTCCGAGGGCTTTGATTGCCCTTGCAGCAAATCCTCTTTTCACAGCTGGAGCAGGGGAACATGGATGTTCCTAAAAAGGTGAGGTGGTGCTCCCTGGCTGGGAAACAGCATCAGGAAACCACAAGTGTAAAACCAGGATTGTCTCGGACAGATTTGGACTGGGACATAGCTTGGGAGCTCTGGAGGAGCTGCTGTGTGCTGCTGTGTTTTCAGGGGTCTGCCTRGAATGTAACTGCTCTGGAGAGCCCCAGTCTGCTATCCCTGGTTTTCTCTGTGAGCCAGAGCTGGATGTATTTCAGCATCCGGGAAAGCGACCATGTGGAGTCCAGTGTTTGTACCAGTTTGGTTTGCTGGGTCTTAGGGAGGCTTTGATGCTGCTGCTTTGGTTTTCCCAGTAATGGATCCTTGTTCTGTCGTGTCCTAACACCAGTAAGGCRTGACAATTCCAAACCCAGCTGCCAGCACTTGGCAAGCTCCTGGATTTTAATGGATGCCTCTCCCAGCCTGGTTGCTACAGCCTCTCCTTGCTAGAAAATGCCTAACTTCTCAAGTTTTGTGTACAAGATTTTAGGTATTTTATCAAGAGCATTTCAGTGAAAGAAGAAAATCAGTGCTGGATTGCACTTTGCCTGCTTGAATGAGACCAAAACATTTCACAGAGGAAAGGACCCCCAAAAGATCCAGTGCTGATTATGATGGCAGTTTAATAAAATTTGCCCAAAAAGAAAACCAATTTTGCKTATAAATGAAAAACATTGACTAGCTGCTTTCTTGTTACAGAAAACAAGAGATGCAGTTTTTAACCAAAATGGTGTGAGGAAAGACAGCGCTGTAAAGTCTGATTGAATTTTAATCCCTTCACAGAATCCAGAATCTTTGCATTGGCAAATACCACCCAGCCACAATGGAAATATCCAGAGCCAGGGTAACCTCAAATACAGAGCAAGGACCACAAGCCAGAGCTTGCAGTGAAACTAAAGATGTGTTAAATCAATAGAAAGAAAACCTCKTTTTTGTTATTATTATTTTTTTTCCTTTGAAAGCAATGAAAGGATGATGAGAGCAAGGAAACATTTGCTTCACTCTTTCAGAATTTCAGTTCTGCAAGTTTCCTGTGGCTGCCTGTCAGAGCCTGGGGGAGGGAGAGGAAGCCCTGCTAGTACAGAAATGGGAGTGGAGATGGATCAGATGGATTCTGCTCCAAACTAAGACACACATATGTGTGATTAACAATGTGGTGTTAGACCCAGCACAAGGTTTTAATGTTAATTAAAAGTTTTTGGCCTTCCGTGAGAGCATTAAGTGCTGAATTCTGCTCTGTGCKACTGGAACCTGAGATTGCAGCCCRTGCGCGTCATCTCTGCCTGTGGTATCTTCCACATCAGCTGGAGCCAGAGAGTTGGACTCTTTCCCTGGCATTTTGCTGTGTGTTCTTTGCACTTTACCCAGCCATTAATCCTGTTCCTCCCACCGCCTGTGGGGTTTGTACTCCTCCCACACCTGGGATGGGGCGGTGGTAGAGCTCCTTTGGTTCAGTCCGTGCTCAGTATCCGAAGGAGAAATGGAAATCTGTGAGGTCCAAGAAGCTGACCCGAGTCCARATGATGAGAAGACATTTTGTCCTTTGCCATTTCTCCATCTCAGAAGGAAACTGTCATTCTCCAGCAGTGCTGGTTGATTCCTTTGATTCAGAAATCAGAATCCAAAGAAATGTTAAAACTGCAGTGCTTTTTCTATCCCAGGTTTGCTCATGCTGCTTCAATCACTGCTTGTRGCAAGAAAAGCTGGTACTTCAAGACCCTTGAAGTTCTTATTCACCTACAAATTTAGGTATTTCATCAGGAAAAGAATCCTGGGTATCTGGGAATCGTACAGAGAGGGTGAGGATCCACATTAGCTACATTGCCAGGCTGAGTTCTCAGCTTGCATCCGTTTTCTCGTCTTCCTGTATAACAAGCAGAGAAGAGGGTTAAATTCTCAGAGATTAGAGTATATTTGCATATAATTGTCTAATCAGGAATTGAATGGCCCTTTGGAATTATGCACTGAGCTGTGTCTGAGAACAATATCTTGGCTGAAACAATAAAAAGAAAGATGTTAGCAGGTGGGAGGGACAGGTTTTGCTCGCGATAACCTGGAAGTATTCAGGCTTCAAAACTTCTTCTGTGGATTCTAAGCAGAATATTTTAGAATATCTTGTATTGCTACTTCTTTTTTTTTCCAGGTGTAAAATGCAGTAATGAATATTGAGGTTTTTTTTTAATCTTTGGGGAGAAGGAGGAAAATTGAAGGAAGTTTGGATAACTATAGTAGCAAATGCCAAGGTGTGTTTTTCTGTGGTTGCAGCCTGTTTCTCAGGATAATGCCAGTGTTGTATGGATTTAGCTGATGATCTCCACTTAAAACCAGCTCAAGACTATGAGGGAATTTTTTTCTGTATTTTTGATAGGTTTCTGCATGTAAATCTTCATGGTTTAGGTCATTGCTGTGACCAGTAATGACTTCAGGGWCTTGGCTGAGGAAATACTCCTTTCTAGCTGAATGCATCAAGTAATGAAGCCCTTCCATCCTCAGCATTCTACAACTTAGACCAGTGTAATTTGAGTGGCAGGGCACCCATTTCCTCCTTCACTGACCTGTCAATTGGAGTTCTGCTAATGGAATTGTTTAGAGACTAATGTGTTCCCATTTTTAAATACTCAATCAATATAAAGATACAGAATGAGAGTGTGTACTCTAAATGACATCTGCTCTAAGCCCTGTCYTGCTTAAGATACTTTGCATATGTAAAATTTTGCAGCTACGTGCCCTGGATAAATTGCATGGAAACAAGTGCTGGATTTTGTGAGCTTTTTGCAGGAAGGTGRTACTTYCCTGGTGATGAAGCATTTRACRCATGGGAATTACATTTTTCCTTCGTTGCAGATCACAGAGGCCTTGTTGAAGGAAAGAGACAAGCAGGCAAAATGGAATGGGATCCCCTTATTGTTGCAGAAACTGTATGAGCACAGCCACCCAAACAGCGACTTCTCYCAGTGCCAAAGCATCCTAAAGGTACTGGCTGTACTCTTCATCCTAAAGCTTGGCATAATTTTGTTGTGGCTTTCTTTAAAGTCTTCTGTGATCATATTCTGTTAATTTTTGAAGCTGTCTGCATGATGGTATCTGTCAGAAATTGCCTGGGAGGTAAGAGTTGGGGATTCAGGTAATGATTAGTCAGTGGATCACACAGACAGGAGAAGATAATTGTGTTTATACTGATAAACAGTTTTCTTTCTGAACCATCTAATTTTTTTCCTACTTGCAGGAAATTTCTCCACTCCTTTCRATGGAAGCCATGGTTTATGTCACAGAAGACAGAAAAGCTGCTCAAGAGTCCAGTTTCCCAAACACATACACATTTGACTTGTTTGGAGGAGTCGATGTAAGTTTGTTTTTTCAACAACATCAAAAGATCTGCATGACTATCATCCCATTGAGAAATCTCTTCAATGAGGTTTTTGAAGCTTCTAAATTCAAGCTACAGACTGACTTTACCAATTTGATGTTAAGCATTAGAATTTTGTCTCTTTCTGTTAATCAAAACATGAAAAGGGTATATTTTTCAAGGTGTTACATCCAAAGTGAGGCGTTTTTCTCTTACATGATATAGAATACCTGTCTATTTGTCTAGCCATTGTGTTTTTACCTTAAAAAAGATGACACTTTTAGTTCTGAATGAAAACAGTTTTCAAATGATTCCTAGTTGTGAGATAAAATAACACARTTGGCACTGGAACAGTGAAAATTTCACTTAACACTGGGGGATCTGTGGCAGCTTAAGCACACCAGGGCTCTCTCTTAGCCAGGTTGTCTCTGCTTATTGCTTCATCTATGGAAAAGTTTTTTAAACMGAGCTAGAAGGTTTCTGTGGACATTCAGGCAATTTATCATTTTGTTTATTTGCTTTAATTCTACATTGCACAAACAGCTATTTGCTCAGTTTTATGGTGCCTGACTCTGGCCTGGCTTTCATTAGCAATGTATGATTTGTATTTTCCAGTGAACTAACTGACACTCTCTTTTTATTTAGTTTAACTAAACAGATTTTGTTGTTTATTTCTYGTTACACTTAGCTTGCTTTTACTTAAATAAAGCTGCTCTTCATGTTGTTTTGAAATGAGCACTGGTTTAGTTGTTGCTGTCAGTTGAGGGCAAAAGCCTTGAGCTACCCAAACAAATGAGAACACTATGAAAATATCCTAAAGTTCCCTAGTTTTTAAAGGGAAATAGTGGTACTTCCTGTAGAAATTATTTTAGCATAATGCACAGCATCTGTGTGTGTTGGAGACAGGTTGTTTTGTTGGGTTGTGTCGGTTTGYGCTTTGTTGGTTTTTTCCCCTTGGGCTGGAGATGTTGATACCAGGTCCACTGTAATTACCTGGTGCTGTARTCAGAGATTTGGCTAATAGGAGTGGGTTTAATGTGATCAAAGACAGAAGCCAGTGCYATGTGTTTTCAAAACTCCTGGATTTGAGGGTTTTCAAAACCCTCTAGGATTTTAAATGGGAGAAGTTTGATCTGCTGGTGCTGTGTGTGCCATGTGCTGGTTTTATTTTGCAGCATTTTAARCTGTGAAACATGACTAATTTTGAAGGACACCAAGTTTGCAGTGTACTCTCTAGACTTCAGTGTGTGATAGTTAAAATATTTTTGGATTCTGACAGTCTTTATATCAAGGAAGAACAAAACCACCTTGGTGTCTCCTCCCGTTATGGGAATCCATGGAAAATACGACCTGAGACTGCCAACACATGAATTGATGTACAAACCTCATGGATTTCATACCTGAATATAATCCCATTCCATTTCTGCTCCTTCTGCCTCTGGTGAGAGGCAGAAAATGCAAGCATTTTTGCATAGATCTATAAAACCCAAACTTTGAGATGTGCATTYTCCTCCTAAACCACAAGCTATTAATAAGAGATGTGCATTTACTGCAATCATTTTYCTCTACCCTATTGATGCTACAGCTACTCTTACAAATACTGCAGGAAAATGTATATTCCTCTTTGAAGTTGCCTATTTATTTATTTGTCAGGGACAAAAATGGGACCTCCTGTGATATCACATGGTTTTCTTTGTGTCTGGGTCAGTAGTTCATTAAAACAAGGGTAAAGTTAAGATAGAGCAAATATAGCAAGTTGTAAACTTTGAATATCTGGTAARTTGGCATTGACTGGGTGATGCCTGCATTGCTGCTAAAAGTTTTAAACAGAATTTTAAAACCAGGGGTATTTGCAGAAATAATCAGTTCATTTTGGTAGCCAACATTCATTTTTAAATAAAGTGCTGTTTTTTCAAATATTTTAAGCTAAATCAGTGGTATAGACTAGAGCAACTAAAGATCAGTTCCACATCAGTCAGAACCACAGTTCTAACCTTGGAAAGCTGATTGTTACATTCCTTAARTAGATACAGAAATGTAAATGCACATACCAGCTCCTGTCCACAAGCAGTGGCTTTTTGGTTAAAATCTGGAGCTGCTAAACTCTGTTATGTCTGGATCTGAAATGTATTTGAAGCCTAGAAGGATCCAGAGAAAGCCTTTGCAAAATTTACATGTCTTTGCAGATTATTGCCAGAGATTCCGTATTTTAAAAAAATGTGTGATCACCWTCCTTGTTGTTATCTGGAGGCATGTGAAATTACGTTCTTTGCAGGCTGAAATTCTTTAAAATTTGCCAGTGGGAGATTGCTTTGTACAGCTCTTACTGTTTCTCCGGAGTAAATGCATCTATAATTTGTCAGTGTGRTTTTGACACCAGTGGGGGTTTGATTGTAGAGCCTTTATTTATTCAATTCTGTGACTTCACCAGAGACAGGTTTGGGTTTATCACTGATAAATTAATTGGTTATTTGTATCTCAGTGATTATTCCCTTAATTCTTTGTCTTATTTTTACAGCTTTTAGTMGAAATTCTCATGAGACCAACTCTTATTACACAGAAAAAGAAGCAGAAAAGTAAGTAAATAGGCAGTTTATCTCTTTTCCCCAATTTTGCCTTKTGTTTCTGTTTCAGACAGAAATTGTTCTATTTTTCTGTTATTCTCTTTTCATCCCAGCAATTTCCTGTTGATTCATTTAGGAGTGAATCATTGGTTTCTTTGTTCTCTGTGGTACTGAATTGTGCTGGGATTTGGGAGAGTCACCTGTTTCTGAGCACAGTTCCGGAGATTCATGCACTCAGCACAACATACTTGACTCAAAGCACTAAATCTGCAATCACTGGAAACTCTTATTGTTCCTGTAGCTACAGCTACAGTGAAAAATAATTAATAATAAGCCACAAAACATTGTTTTTGTAATGGAAGATGGTGAGATGAGTAGGTCAGGAAAACAGCACCCATTTTGTTATGTGACTACTCACTTCCACATCACTGTAAGGAGAACTTGTCAACGGGGTGCAGTGGCTTCTGCTCAACTTTCCTGCTGGAGCAGCTTTGCTGTTTTCATTCCTCTGTTTGGGACTCTGCTGGTTCCTTCCACTCCTCCGAGGGAACGGAATGTCATAGTGCACC